CTCGTACGCAAGCGCGCGCACCGCCTTTGGCCAGGTGGCCGTGTAGAAGAGCGTCTGCCGCTGCGGCGGCACTTGGCGCACAATCTTGCGGATCTGCGGCTCGAAGCCCATGTCGAGCATCCGGTCCGCCTCGTCCATCACCAGGTAGGCGACCTGGTGCAGCTGCAGCTGTCCCGCCTCGAGGAAGTCGTTGACCCGCCCCGGCGTGCGTTGTTGGGAGGCGGGCCTGATCCCGCCGTCCCAGGCGACGAGTCTGGGCAGTGCACGCGGGAGCAATCGCACACCCTTTGTAGACTACGTCGTTGAATGAATATACGAACCCAATTCCCAATAATTGGGATCGAGTAAAGACACACGAGAGTGTGAATGGGTAATGACACACAAGAGTGGGAGATCAATCCCCGGGCAGCGACGCCCCCCCCCGATTGAGACCAGGGGAGGTCGAAAGCGGCAACCCGGCTGCCCGAAGCGCGAATGACACAATGCGAGATTGGACCTCGCGGGCGCGGGATCGCTCACGCAAAGCGGGCACCGCACACGACGTGAGCGGTCTGGCCGCGCACATTCATAATCTCGTCGCGAAGTTTGAAGAACCGCGTCGAGCTCGCGAGCGGCTTCGTAAGGAAGTCGCTCACATTGCCTTCGCCCTCGATCCAGGGGACGCGAATCTCGAACTTCTCCACCATGTCGCGCACGAAGAAGTGACGCCGCTCGACGTGCTTCATGCGACCGTGGTGTTCGGGATTGTAGGCGACGTCGCGCGCGCCCTTGTTGTCGGTGCTGACCTCCGAGGGACCGTCGACGGCGCCGGGGTCGAGGTCGGAGACCAGACGGCGAAAGTAGACCATGTCCTTCGTCGCCTCGGACAGCGAGATGATCTCAGCCTCGCACGACGAGAGGGCGACGCAGGGCTGCTTTTTCGACCCCCAATTGATCGTAGCTCCCTGCCACTTGACGAACCATCCCGATGTGCCGAAGGTCGTAGAGAAGACAGGTTCGCGTCGCTGCATCCAGACAGTGCGGACGGCCCGGTGTCGTACGTGATGCCGAGGGACTTATGATAGTGGAGGTAGCTGAGGAGGGTGTTCAGCTCGACGAAGAGGTCGGGCGTGGGCCTCGACATGGCGCTGCACAGGCGGAACACCGGGTACGCGATGTCCGGGCGCGCGCCACACGCGGCATACATGAGCTGGCCAAGGCACTGTTGGAATGGCTTGACGAGCTCGGGGTAGTCTGGCGACGTGGTCGACTGCTTGAGCGCCTCGTCGAGGCGGGCCTGGAACTGCCGCGAGTAGGGCAGGCTGTTGTCCTGCACGCGCGGGAGAGGACCGCCTGGAAGCCACTTCGCCAGCACCTTCTCCACGTACTTCTCCATGTGGATGGTGACGGACCCGTTATCGTTGCGGACGACCTGCATGGCGAGAACGTCGTCGACCTCGCCCTCGTCGACGATGTCCCACTCGCTTTCGAAGGCAGCCTTGAACTTGGCATAGTACGAGTTGGGGTCGATGGCGTTGCCGTCTCCGTCTAGCTCCTGGATGACGGAGGGCTTGGAGAAGCCGGCCTTGGCGAGACGGGGAGCGTCGCAGAACGAGAAGCCACATTTTTTTTTATAGCGGTGCTGCTTCCCTGCTGAGCACCATCCACGTGCCCGCTGCTGTCAAGGATGAGCCCCCCGGGCGCGTCCAACAAGCAGCCTCTGCTGGACTGCGAGCATTGCCGTCCGCTACGGCGAGACACGAACGTCCTGGTCCTAGCTCGAATCTCCGAGCTGAGATCAATCTCCACCGCCAACTTTATCCTCGCTCTTTTTTCGGCGAGCTCGGCGCCTTCCCGGGACCGCGGCTGGCCGGCACGTGGTCTCAGCCTCCGTTCTCGTGTTAGGTGGCCTACCTGGCTGTCCAGGTCGTGTGTACCGTGATCCTCACTTGTGGTGTCGAAGTCGTGTCGACGGATCAGACCTTCCACCGGCTGGAGTTTGGCGCGACGTTCATCTTTGCGCTCGTCACCACCTTCTCGCTGGTCTGCTCGCCGGAGCGTGACTTTTGCTCGCCGCTGCTGCTCAAGTTCCTCGTCTTCGCCAACGTCGGCGCGCGCGCCACACGGGAGAGGCCCGGTTGTGTTGGCGGGCGGGAGTGGCACGCTGGTGCAGCAGTGCCGCGCCGGCACCGGCGCACGCCGCTGGCGCTGTCTCTCGATGAGATGCCCGAGAGGCGGCGGAGGTGCTGGCAGAGCATCAGCCCTCGATTCCTTCAGACTCATGCCACTGCGTTGTGCGCTGTCGTCGCGTGATGTGCGGTGGTGGCTCTCTCCGACCGCCCTCCCGCCCCACCCCGCAGGTAACACGCTCGTCTCCTTCCTTCTCGTGCTCGTCAACCTCGAGCGCTTCGAGACGGCGTCGCACCAGATCGAGTATGCCAACGAGCTGACGATGGCGGGCGCGGAGTCCGCTGCACGCGGGGGAGGTCGTCCATGACCCGTCCATGACGTGTCCGGGACACGTCCACAGGCGCGGAGCTGCTGCTCGCGGCGGCGGTGCTGTCGGAGAAGGGCGCGGAGGAGCGGGCGGGGAGGAAGCTGGTGGCGGCGGCGGTGCTCAGCTCGCTGCTGGTGGCGAGCGCGCAGCTCTTCATCTACAACGTCCCCTGGGGCGGCGAGGTCCCCGCGCACTACCTCGAGTTTGCCTTTGGGACGCTCTGCGCGGGAGGCAACTTTTGGTTCTGCGTCGACAGCATGGCGCTCGCCGACCAGCTCAAGCGGCAGATCATGCTCGCGCCCGAGGGGCTGACAGTGGTGATCGACCCCTTCTCACGGCACGGGGTGCACGACCACAGCGAGCGAGACCACTACTACACGGCGCCGGCGCCGGCGGGCAGGTCGTGCTGTCCGCACGACAGCTGCGGCGGGGAGGCGCGCATGCACGACCTGGGCTCGCACAGCCACGGAGGCTATTGATGAGAACGAGGAGATTTGGGGAGGAGGAGCGCTGACGCCGGATTCCGGACCGCGATAGGGTCCTGGGCGAGTTGCGTTTGTGTTTTTCGATAGACGGCGTGGGGACTGTGGTAGAGCTAGAGCCATAGTGGGGAGCGCCATAGGGAGCGCAAAGCGCAAGCCGCGAGCGCGGCGAGACGAGAGAACAGAGAGTCAGAGACCGCGTGAATCCTCAGATGCCCTCCTCAGATCAGGGCCCTGATTTTATACACCGTCATGTGCCCAATCGATTTCTCGCGAGGAAAAGAATTTTAGAACGCATCTTTTTACCGATATCCTAGTAGAGGTGCCCACTTTTATTTTTTATTTACTCTCACGACGTCCGACTCACGACCCCTGCTCTCCCTGCTCAGGCGCCCACGCCTCGATCTTCTTTGGCAGCAGCTGGTTCGACAGGTCCTCTCCGTGGCCTAGGCAGGCGTTGTCGCCCTCGCCCCACGTGAAAACGGCGCCGTCGGCGGTGAGGGCGAGGCTGTGGTCGACTCCAGCCGAGACAGCGACAACGCGCTGGCCAGCAAAGGCCTCGATCTTCTTCGGCAGCAGCTGCTTCTGCTCGTCGCCGTGGCCCAGCTTGCCAGAGTATCCATCGCCCCAGCTCCAGACGGCGCCGTCTGCGTTGATGGCGAGGCTGTGATCGACTCCAGCCGACACAGCGACGACGCGCTGCCCCGCCAAGGCCTCGACCTTCTTGGGCAGCAGCTGGCTCTGCCAATCGCCGGCCCAACTCGCCCCAG